GCAGCAGCAGCAACAGCAGCAGCAGCAGGATACTTGGTATGAGTCTCTGCCTATGACGTGGCCGAAGACATCGTTGCGGCCGTCAAGCCAAAGACAGGGCCCGCAGGTTATAAAGAACTGGCAGCCGTTGCTGCTGCTGCTGCTGCTGCTGCTGCTGCTGCTGCTCTGCTGCTGCTGCTGCTTGGGTGTTGCAGCAGCAGCATTTGCCATGCAGAGAAGACCAGCACGAAAGTGAGGAACACAACCAGCAGCAATTGCTTTTTCTGCTGCTGCTGCTGCTGCTGCTCCGCTCAAACCCTGAACTGTCTCCTGCTGCTGCTGCTGCTGCTGCTGCTGCTGCTGCAGCTGCGGGGACTCTAAAGGAAAGCTGCTGCCGTAGATACTCAGGCTCCCGGTGCCGTCGCCCTTCACAAAGTCTCCTCCCTGCAGCAGCAGCAGCAACAGCAGCAGCAGCAGCAGCAGCAGCAGGGTTAGGAGGTGTAGGAGGAGTAGTAATAGCAGCAGTAGGAGTTGCAGCAGCAACAGCAGCAGCAGCAGCAGCAGCAGTACTAGCAGTAGGAGGAGTAGCAGCAGTAATAGTAGCAACAGCAGCAGCAGCATCATCAGCAGCAGCAACAGCAACAAAAGCAACAACAACAACACCAACAGCAGCAACATCATCAGCAGCTGCAGCAACAACCGCAACAGCAACAACAACAACAACAGTAACAACAGCAGCAACAGCAGCAGCAACAACAACAGCAGCAGCAACAGCAGCAGCAGCAACAGCAGCAGCAGCAGCAGCAGCAGCAGCAGCAGCAGCAACTTACATGAACCATGAATCCCTTAAGGACTCTATGAAAACGACAATTCTTATAACCAACCGGAACAGAGTTCATCTTATACTCCCCTGCACACAAACCCTAAACCCTAAACCCTAAACCCTAAACCCTAAACACTAAACACTAAACACTAAATACTAAGCACAAACCCTAAACCCTAAACCCTAAACCCTAAACCCTAAACCCTAAACACTAAACCGTAAGCACTAAACACTAAACACTAAACACTAAACACTAAACCCTAAAGCCTATACACAACACAAACCCTAAACCCTAAACCCTGGACCCTGCACACACACCCTAAACCCTCGAAAAGAAACAAAAAAAAAAACAAAAAAAAACAAAAAAAAAAGCTAGAAACCAAAGGAGAACGAAATACCCCCCCC